AAAGCAACAGAAGAAAGAGATTGTTTAGGTTATTAGCCAATGAGTATCGTTTCGGAAACTATTAAAGTACATCAAATATAAACGTTTTTACCAGTTTTGTTTTATGTCCAAAGTACTCAGAGAAAAATTATTCTTGTATTTAAAAGAATAAACCGCGAAATAAATATCAACAATTAAGAACTAATAGTAAGTCATTTATAACATTATTAAATGAGAAAGGTCACGGTTTACGATATTACTGCTCTAGCTGTGTAATTGCATTTCATTTATTTCTTCTTTTTTTAAATGTTTATATTTGTTGTATTTTTTTTCTTTTATTACACAGGGTCCGATGCAATGTCTTTGTCAGCAACAGCGTCGTTACTTCTGGTTTTCACAGTGTTCTTTGGATAAATAGATGGGAACTTATAGGGTCGCCCAAAGTCACATGAGCCGCGTCATGATAAAACCAACTTAATGGGTTTGCGTACAGCATGGACCCAGACCAGCCTGCTCATCCGCGCGGTCTGATCAGGATCCATGCTGTTCGCTATCAGTTTCTCTACTTGATATAGGGTTTGTAAGCGAACAGCATGGATCCTGATCAGACTGCGCGGATGCGCAGGCTCGTCTGGATCCATGCTGGTCGCAAACGTACTATGTTGGTTTTGTCATGACGCGCTCATAAATACTACTTATTTCATCGCAAGCCTTATCTTTTGTCATACATTAAAACTATTTAAATAATTTATTGAATTCATATCCTAGACTTTAAGACTATAACTATATTCATTATTTTCACTGTTAGACACTTTATTAGTTTATTATTGATGTTATTAAATATCTAATTCATGTTTATTAGAGCTTATTCTCCATATTGTATAAACTGAAACATTAATTATTCTCTTTCATTTGAATACCAACCGTGACAAAATGTTTTATATGTATTGATGTATAACGAGATACATGTAAATGTATAAGTTAAATAACATTTTCTTCTTCTTCTTCTTCTTCTTCTTCTTCTTCCTTATCTTTTGACATACATTAAAACTATTTAAATGGACAGTTTAAGTGTCAGTGTTAAAAATTGTTTTCTTTACAGTTCAGTAGTGATTACCGGATTATCCACGTATCTGCCTGTTTTAATGTTGACAGTCCTATCTATATAAAAAGGACACTTTTATACTGTGATAAAAAAAAACAAAAACGAAATTGTTTCTGTTATACTTTCTGTGAAACTACTTATATTAAGTATATACAAATATAATTCAAGTGTAAAGTTGGAAAGTCTATACAAATCAATTCATGTGCATATTTTTATTGGTTTACAAAATGGTATTTTTTCCTTTCTTTTTAGGCATCCTTAGCTTGAAACATAATCTGTACATTTCAAGTGGTTGTATCAAATAAACAAAATATGTAACCTTTAGTTAAATAGTAGATAATTTACAATAACAACAAGGGCATCATTATCGCAAAACAGTTCCGTCACAAAAGCTTTTTACAGAGATATGGGCATTATACATATGTATATAGGAGATATGCTCTGTGCAATATCCGGATGATATCTGGATACTAGTATTTTATCATGTCTAGTGACCTTGACCTTGCAATTATTAACCTATATTACATGTGTCACACTTGTAGTCATGATAGGTATCATTAGTGTCACAATCCATCAATAAATGATGACTAAATGGTCCCTGTATACATCTTCGGTTTTTATCTTAAATTTGACCTGTGTGTGACATTGAGTTTGGTAGCAGAAACCTGAAATATGCGCGCAATACTTAGCCTTACAATGGTGAATATTTGTGTCAAGTTACATTAAAATCCCTCAATGCATGTAAAAGTTTTGCTTCGGACAAGCGTTCTTCAAGGAGCTCTAAGTATGACCTTGACCTTTAACATAGAGACCTGGTTCATGCCCGCGATACGGCTTCTCATAGTGTTGAACATTTCTATGTAGTTTTAATAAAATAAATTTCCCCATGTGTGTAGGAGATATGGTCCGGACAAAATTGGACGCCGCCCATCCGCCAGGAGTGTTCACTATAATACGACCCGTTTTTGAAACGGGCGTATAGTAAACTTAAAGAAAAAAGGAGTTGACATTCAGTGTTGATCTTAAATATATACTATGGTGGCTGATTTGTGTCATTCGTGTTTTCGTTTTTCTAATAAAAAAAACTTCGCCCCGCGGAGGCGCGGATCGTGATTTAAGACATAAAACGGGGGGGGGGGGGGGGCGAACCAAATATTTAGTTTTATATGTTACCATCCATCCATAGTATTTTTGTGCAAATTTGATGAAATTTTAGTCACTTTGTGTACCTATCATAAATTATCAAAGAGGCTGAATGACGGGCGTTGTGTTGTTCCTGTTAAGTCAGCACCTTATTTATAATCACTATTTGGAACATGGCAACACATGTCTTTATTCCTAAAGTCTAGTGACGCGTCTGCATTAAACAGTAAATACACTCTTTCCATATGTTTCTTATTAGTATACAACGACGTATATTTCAGTGAAAGACAATTCAACTGACTGAAGGTTTATCTAAATCAAAAATATTGGAGGTCAAATTTGATCGTGAACCCAATTGCAAAATGAACATTTTAATAATGCATATAGTACATAAATGTCTTTTAAAAGTATTTGCTCGGTTTAAGAGATACAAAGAGGCATTACGAGGCATTTTCAGTATGTTTTGTTGTGCTTAAAAACAAAATAAATAAAAAAAAACAAACTTAAGAGATTTTTTAAGAAATGTATAACTATTCACAAAGCAGATGTACTAAGCAAAATATGATAGCATTTACTCATTTATTACCAACATATTTTAAAACGATAACATACAAAGTAAAAAAAGGAATTTCTGCATATTTTGATAAATTATGGGCAATAATTGTTCGTACCTTGGGGTAGACTAAATCATTTAATCAACATGACTCATTATTTTCCTATAAACTAACACATATCTGGAGGCGCGCTGCTTTAAGAAATATTACAGAAAAGAAACTTGTATCAATTACATATTTACAATCAGAATTCAGTCTAATTCTACCCGGGTATTTCAATATCAACAATAGTAAATAATTACAAAAGAACTGGGCTACTTTTATCAACCTGATATTTTACCGTATTACTATCACTGTAATGTATAACTTTAAAACCAAATCTTCAATACGCATTTAAATCAGATCAAAGATTTAATTATCTCAAACTTTTATAGTTATAAATCCTTATATATGGTGACTTAGATATAACTAACACATCACTTAAAATTAATTCAATTTGAGCTTCTTTTTTCAGCGTGAAAACATTTTGAAAGCGGCCTTATAGAATGAATATGAATATATACATGACTAATTATGATCGATTATTTGACCTCATGATATATTTCAAGTTTATATTGCAAATATATATATTTATATATTGGAAATTTACCTTAATGGAAAAGAATACCCGAATTAGTCACTGAATACAGCCAGTAAACTTGTATATATATATGCTTCATGAAGTGATTTCTAATTCAGAAACGTTAGACGTTCAGGTTAAACTTTCCGAAGGTAAGACATTTATAATTTTCTCATTGTTATGACTTAAAAATATCTTTCAAATGTTTTCTTTTGTGTGTAATCTATTGTCAAGAACCAAACCTAAGAATATTCCTATACAGTCACAGACACTAGATCTTGCTTTACAGCGTCAGTGTACCTTAGGACTAAATATATTTTTCGGAAATAATGGAACAGGGTATATAATCATAATAAATTTTACTTTTAGAGTTCACAGTTGTCGAAAACACAGATTTCAATATTTCGAAATTTTATACTCTAGGAATTTATTGCTCCTATTAATAAAATCTGATACCCGTAATATACACCCCACTCGCTTAAATTCACACTCAATAATAAATTTATACAATGGTCATGAATACGCACGTCACTTGGATATTCAATTTTAAAGCAGCATGCCTCCAGATTCACAATAATTTTCATTAAAAATGTTTATTAAGTAAAATAATGTAAAATAAACAAAGAAAGGAATTAACGGTACTTACAGTCCACGTAAATTACCTCAAAATATGCAGAATAATCCTTATTGCATTAGCCATGCAGTATAAAATCAGTAATTAATCGTACATAACAAGTAAATTATTACTTTTGTCTTGAATATATATTTATTTTTCTTAAAGTCTTAGAGTACATTTTTCACAAGTTCGATAGTCTTGAAATATTTTGTCATGCAGCTTGAAGTGAACAAAACTTTTAATGGAAATGGATTCTAACTAACTGCGAACATTTTATGAAATGTTCAGTATGATATGACACCAAGTAGTTTTTCATTGCAAGCAGTAGACAAGAGTCTCATTTTATATAACTTTTATACTGCTGAATATCTGTCAAATTTCACTCTGCCTTTCCAAAGAAGAGGATCGTTTTGAGTTTGTTGAAAATACAAAAAAGAAAAATGTCATTAAACTAGGTCATGTATATTCTTAATATTATTTTTTACAGGATCAATTCACTATAAAACAAGATGACGTCATCAGGACAGGTGATAGACGATGATAGAATATCTCGTATATCAGTTGCCAGCAACGCTGTAGCCGCTATACCGAAGAAAGATCTGACAGAAACTAAAAGTTTTGCGAGCCCACCACAAGCTGTAAAAGATGTATTGGAAGCTGTGATGATTTTACTAGGACACAAAGGGGCTGATTTGGTACATGTTTTCATTTTTAATCAATTACTGATGTCACAACCTTAATTGAATGAAAATGATTAATTGGAGATAGTAAGAAACGTATTCTAAAATGAAATTCATTTTGAAACGATGATGTGATATGAGAGACATTCATAACACCTTAATGTTTTGCTTGCAGTCAATGACTAATAATAACTAGTATAATTACTACACTAGTACTGTAATAAAGTAAAATGGCATGTTATCATTCTTGTTGCATGATCATATAACACTCTGATATCTATATACTACAAAGTTACATCGTAATTAAGAAGCATCTTTCCATGAACGATGACATACAGGTGACATTTGCAATATTATTCTATCTTGTGGCCTCTATGTGCCATTTCCTACCATATGTTTTCAATATCAGCTTGGAAATCGTATTACCTTTACTGCGATAATAATCACGCCTTCAACGGTAAATATTGTTAACGTTACGTTACATGTTTTAATGGTCATATTATATGGCATACACTGGTCTTACTTAAAAGTATATTTATCTACAGGAATGGAGAAATATACAAAAGGCGCTAGGGGGATCATCGTTTCTGAAGGTCATAGGGGATGTCGATTATGATAAGATTTCGCAAGAAACTCGTGCGAAGGCTATGAATAAAGTGTCTGAATATTCGCACGAAAGTATTATGAAAAACAGCAAGGCGGCGACAATATTTTATGACTGGGTATGTTTACTTTAAGTCAAATAGATTGTAAACAAAAGCATACACATATAAATTAGAAATTAAAACTCTATAGTTATTGTTTTTCCGTATCATACGCTCAAACCATATAAATGTAAGTGCAGTCGAAGCTCCTCGGCTATTTTTTACTAAATACGGATTGAAAGTAATTCTATCACGTGATTTTTTTAAACAAATCTTTGATACTATTTAACAGATGTATAATAATAAAAATTATATTAATATTGTACTGTAATATTTTTATCTTTAAACTTACTAAATAAAGGTGCACATTTACTCAATATATTGGAATAAACTTAACATCTCCTACCATTTAGTGATGTCAAATACGTTTGTGCTATATACATGTATATTTGAGCCGTGTCATGACACAACCAACAGAGTGTGTTTGCGACAAGCATCCGCGCAGTCTGATAAGGATCCATGCTGTTCGCTTACCAACTCTATTACAAGTAGAGAAACTGATAGCGAACAGCATGGATCCTGATCAGACAGCGCGGAAGCGCAGGCTGGTCCGGATCCATGCTGGTCGCAAACCAATTATGTTGATTTTTTCATGACACGGCTCATTAACTTTTTACCGGTTATAATAATAATACTTTTTCATATGGCATTTACATATAAAATCACAACAAATGTTTTCTATTCTTATGTGTGTTTCATTTAAACAAATAGATATACATAAATAAATTTATTTCCTTTTCAGGTTATAGCAGTATCGAAAGAATAAAGAAACTATGATTCAAACATAATAAAAAGAGGGGTCTACTCACGCTACTGAAGAATTCATGCACATATATGTCCAGCCAACTTAATTGATTATGCATAATGCCATAATTAACGTTATAATAATCATAACGTAATTCAATATTGTTGTTGTTTTTAAATTTCATCCCAATAAAATAAGCTTATCAAAAATCGTTTCTTTATAATTATATCGTTAGTGTAATTTTGGTGTAAATTACTGTGCATTGATGATATGGTCTTCATTTTTAAATAACTGATGAATCATTGAAAATGTACTTTTTAAACTTAGATATTGTGCATGATTTTAAATGTACGACACAAGCAATGGACACAATAAATCTAGAGATATATACATGAACATGTCTCTGTTTGGATTAAATAATTCAGAAATTCTTTTTGTATGGTTGCTTGGGTTGTCGGGTTGTTGGGTTTTAAGTTTTACAAGTGGCGGATGGCCACTGGTGTCCTTTTGTGCATTTGAAACACCATCTTTCTGAATAGCTATCCACATGATAGAATCAAAAGTGCCTAGCGAGATTTGAAAACACAGCAATGAAGAAACACTTAGTTAAAAATCTTAATCAAAGATAGATGGCCTCAAATGTTTACATCAAAGAAACTGTGCTGTTTGAACCTTTCTTTACCAAGACAGAAAATAAACACAAACTAGTATCTTAACTCATTTTAATTCAATAAAGAAAGTTAATATAAACAAGAAAAGTGTCTGACATAGCAAACAAAGTGACCATGTCAAAATTCAATTGAAACTATGGAACGCCGTGACTGTCTTATGCCATCAATGCTTTTGCCATCTTGTGAAATGATGATATTATTTTGTCATTTAAGCATATAAACATGTGCAATTTACATCATATCTTGTCTAAAGACAATGCTGACTTGTTCAAACAGCATGTTAACTTGTCAAATAATCATTATAACATGTGCAGACAACATGTTAACTTGTCTAAGTATCATGATGACTTGTGCAACCGACATGTTAACTTGTCAAAATATCATAATGACTTGTGCAAACGACATGTTAACTTGTTAATATTTCATGATGACATGTGCAAACAGCATGTTAACTTGTCGAATTATCGTGATGACATGCTCATAATACCATAACAAGTTAACATGTGTTTTGCACAAGTCATTACGATTCTTTGACAAATCAACATGTTGTCTGCACAAGTCATCATGATACATTGACAAGTTAGAATGTAGTTTGCACAAGTCATCACGATACCTTGACAAGTTAACATGCTGTTCGCACATGTCATCATGAAATTTGGACAAGTTAACATGTTGCTTTTCACAAGTCATCATGATACTAGGACATTTAGCATGTTGTTTGCACATGTTATCACGATGATCTGACAAGTTAACATACTGTTTGCACATGTCATCTTGAAATTTTGACAAGTTAGCATGGCATTTGCACAAGTCATCATTATACTTGGACAAGTTGACATGTCGTTTGCACAAGTCATTATGATACTTGGACAAGTTAACATGCTGTATGCACATGTCATAACGATAATTCGACAAGTTAACATGCTGTTTACACATGTCATCATTGAATTTTGACATGTTAGCATGGTATTTGCACAAGTCAGCATGATACTTTGACAAGTTAACAGTGCTTTTTGACATGTCAGCATGATACAAGATAACATGTCATTTGCACAAGTCATCACGATTCTTTGACAAGTTCACATGTTGTCTTCACAAGTCATCATGGTTATTTGACATGTTTACATGCTGTTTGCACAAGTCATCATTATACTTTGACAAGTTAACATGCTGTTTGCACATGTCATAACGATAGTTCGACAAGTTAACATGTCCTATTCACAAGTCATCATTATACTTTGACAAGTTAACATGGCGTTTGCACAAGTCATCATGACATTTTGACAAGTTAACATGCTGTTTGCACATGTCATCACAATAATTTGACAAGTTCACATGACGTTTGCACAAGTCATCATTACATTTTGACAAGTTACCATGTCATTTGCACAAGTCATTATTATACTTTGACAAGTTAACATGTTGTTTGCACAAGTCATCACGATACTTTGACAAGATAGCATGTTGTCTGCACATGTCATCATAATAGTTTGACAAGTTTACATGCTGTTTGTACAAGTCAGCATGTTCATTTGACAAGACATGATGTAAATTGCACATGTTAACATGCTCAAACGACAAAATAATATCATCGTTTCACAAGATAACAAAAACATTGATTACATAAGACAGTCACGGCGTTCCATATGAATCAATACAACTAAACCACATTCTGATTCAACTTCACAAATGTAGCTAATGATAACAGAATGAGAACAGGGCTCTAATAAAATTATTCTAGGTAAACAAGTAGACTTAAGATTATTTTCGGTAAACAAATAGACATAAGATTATTTTAGGTATTTTTTCGTATAGTCAAACTAAGTTTGAATATTAAAATCTGAGGGTAAATTATAATGAAATGGTTTTTGGGTTTTGTTTTTTTTTCAAAGCAACATGCAGGCAGATGAGAAACAAAACTGAGAAAAATATATGAAAAATAATGTTTCCCCTGACTATTTTTAATCACTGACTAAGTTAAGTTTTCCACTGACTAGAACCAAATTACTTATAAATACAAAACTCATTTTCAAATTTACAAAAGTTGCAAGTCAGATAAAACTGATATACTTGAACATACATACAAAATAAAAAAAACAGTTGTTTTTTGAAATTTACAAAATAATTGAACTCCAAAAAACAATTTAACTGACTGGTGTGTTTGTATTAGTCTTTACAGAAGTACCTAGATCTAGATGATAATCTCTAGTGAAAAGACAAAAAAATATACCAATACATTGTGGAGTAGTGGGAAAATTGTTTATTGAAGGAACTCCAAAAGCCTATAAAAAACATAAAAAATGAACCCTTAAGTAGATCAGCTGAAGAACTTAAAACAGAAAGCAATCTAAAAAATACATCAAAAAGTTATTTACAGTTCAATCATGTAAACAAGTGTAAATGGAGTCCCATTATAGGAAAATAGTGATTAATTAAATACATTTTGTAACAAAAAATACAGCAGATGACAATTACAAAGGTCACAATAATAAACATAAAACAGGCATATAGCCTCTTATCAAAATTAAATACATGGACATAGCAACACAACAGTATAAGAAGTAACCTCTAGTACCATCTTGTCCATGCGGTCTTCAGTATACATATCAGAATTAAAACAAAAACATATGGAATTCCTAAAGCGTTCACAAAACATCAAAAATTGTTAATGTTGCAGGATTGGTTTGAGGTCTGATCCTTTAAACTATCACTGGCTGCTCACCATGGTAAAGGTATGTACCCATACTTCTATTATCCCAAATAGTAAATTTCAGGTTTTTTTGTTTTGTTCACCAGCATTATTTCCCCTGAACCAATTAAACATTAAAGGTTATACCAGTCATAAACTATTGTCAAGTGAAATCAATTTTTTTCTAACTAAAGAATAAAATTTCTGATATAAGCTAAAACTTTTAGTTTAAAAGCCTAAAACATAAAATTTTAATTTCTCACATAGATCACCTGGGGCACATAAAACAGAAATATAAATTAAATAAAGAAATATACTCAGAAATACACTGAAAATCATATGTTTGTGCTATTCTCGGTCCGATTTGAGTGGAAAGCGTTGCAACGCTTTTCAATTTTGGGTCATTTTTCACAATTACGAGAATAATTATTCTGGAAAAAAATGAGTGAGCTAATGATAAGAAATCATCTAGAATGTGAATCATGTAATGAATTTTTAAAACTTTTTTAGCGATATATTGCAAACCGGAGCTAAAACGTTCAAAGATGGCACAAGACGAAGATGCCCCCATAGGTAGACAAGGATCAAAATAAAAATGTCCTAAAAATTTAAAGCCCAATAAATGATGGTCATCTGGGTGAATGGGAATCAAACGGAAAGCTGAATCAATATCGGTTTTGCTAAACAAGGTCCCTGGACCTAAATCCAGCAATAATTGAACTGCGTCATCGAATGTACAATAGTTGACAGAAGAAAAATTAGAATCAATATAGTCATTGACTGAATTGCCATGAGGATAACTGAGGTGGTGAATTAACCTAAATTGACCTGGCAATTTTTTCGGAACCAGGCCAATTGGACTTAAATGCAGTTCTGGGAAAGGTGGACCTACAAAAGGACCTTTTACTCTGCCTGACTCTAATTCCTTTGTCAGTTTTTGGGACACTATATCTGGAGAATCGTCACATGACTTTAAGTTGGATGGTGCTGAAGCTGACATTTGACCTTTGAAACCTAACTTAAAACCATTGGAGAAACCTTGAATTAAATATTGTGCTAGAGGGTAACCATGAAGAAGTGGGGCAAGAACTGATATTTTTATGGGAGTAACTGGAGTAAATGCCGGGCCATTATTTGGTTGGTCTGGAGGTTGTGTTGGATTGTGAGAGTGCTTTATATGCTGTTTCCTTGTTGGGGAACTTGCATTGATATGCTGGATGGGATCCCTTGCAGAACCCACATAAGTGTGGATGGTTGCAGGAGGTGTTATGACACTGACTACGTTTATTGTAGTTCCAACATGTTTTTTCAAGGAAACGTCTTGGCTTGCTGTAGTTGTTACTACGTGTTGTATTGTGTTGGGCTCGAAAGGACTGGGGTTGTGGTATGGAAGTACTAGCCATTAACCAGAATTCAGTATGAATTCGATCCCAGGGAAGAGCAAGCGACTCCCGCAACATTCGAAATTGCGTGTCATAGTATAAAAATGCAAAGCCTGGACGTCGTCGAGCTAAATCTCGGACGATCTCCATATATTTAAGCAATTGCTGGGCTTCTAGTGGGAGCCGTTGCAAGTATACTGCCATAAAACGTATAAATGCAGTTGTCCATACTTCAACGTTTTGTATTCTTTTTGATTTGGATGTAGGGTTTATTGTGAAATTGGAGCGATTATCTACTTGTAAAGTGTAATGTGTAGGTTGAGGGTTTAAAGAGGACGGTAGGAGGTCTGCCATATCGACATACTTGTTTCTCCAAATAGCTTTACAGGTAGCCCTCTTAATTTGATTCAGGATAGGAGTGCTGATTGGCTCCGCAAACTGAATGCCATTACCTGATAAAATTGCATGTGAATGATGTGAAATAGCATCTTGAAAAGACGGAACAAATGGGACGTCATCTTCATCCGAATCTGAATCACTTGATTGCATGTCTGACATTGCTGACGATAAATGCGGAATTGGATTGCCAGGAGAATAATTAGGCGCATCTGACGTAGACGGATTTGGAAAGTCATATTGACACGTACTAGCCATTGATTGAGAATTCATAGCAGGAAGTGTATGCGACACGCCATGATGGCTCTCAGTACTAGCATCTGTGGTGTTATTTCCCATCTGTTGTGTTACTTGATCTGGTGTAGGAGATGGTATCCCCAAAGAGCTCTGTTGTACAGGAGTTGTGGAAACCCCAACTTTCGGGCGTTTAGTTTTCTTCCGCGAAGAATCCTTGGTTGTGTTTGCTGCGCCACAAGTACATGAACATGGGGCATTCACTCCTTTTCTCCTATTAGGAGGTTTCATCTGAAAAGAATGAAATATGACTGTCAGAAATCAAATAAATGGAAAACACAACCTTATATATGCAAACAGCCTAACAACCTCCATTGTAAAATAAGACTCATAATTTGATGTGTGAGGTAATTGTAAACATAAGCTGACGGCTATAATATTAAGCCTACAAATATGACTGGTAACTAAACCATGTTCGTATAATGCGTGTCAATCGTAAACTAATGCGCACCAACTTGGGCTGCAAACTAAACAATGTATAAACATGTATAATATGTGTGAACTTTAAACTAAAGCACACAAACATGGACTGTAAACTAAGCCATGTATATATTATGTGTGAACTGTAAACTAAATCACACAGACATGGACTGTAAACTAAACCATGTAATAAAAAATGTGTGAACTGTAAACTAAATCACACAGACATGGACTATAAACTAAACCATGTAAATTAAGTGTGTGAACTGGAAACTAAATCACACAAACATGGATTAAGACTAAACCATGAAAATATTATGTGTGTGAACTAAAAACGGACTCACACAGACATAAACTTTAAATTGAACCAGTATTTATAATGCATGCATGTGTTATTGCATGTGATTATTGGAATAAGTTTGAAAGCATAAAATTTACAAATAATGCGCCACACCCTGGCAACATTATTAATGTGTTTGAAGGAAGCACCAGTTTTTCCCATACTGCATACAGTACGAATATCCTTCTGTAAGTGTTATCAGTATCTGTCAATTAGGTGGCATGAAACATAGGTATGTACTAAGTTATTAAAACCAAATCAAATTATTTGTATAGGAAAATGTAACCCTTGTCACAACAAAACTATATACTAAATGTTGGCAAACATGTTGCCTGAAAAAATGACTCATAAGTCATTGAAATAGTAACCATAGAGAATTAGATATGTATGCTTGAAGCAAGTAAGCCGGAGTTAATAGAAAATTGTCCACCCTTACAGGGTTGATTTGAACAGTAGTGATGAGTATTACAGCTAATGAACCAATTGACGACCACCTATGTGGTGACTACTATAATGAAAATATTAGCTTTAACTATGGCATGATAAAAGACATGATATAAAAATACATATCTTATGCATTGGCATTGCAGATGGAACGTTTCAGGGCGGCGACCACAGCTGCTCTTATATTATTTATGAGGCGGAGCTGACCAGCGTTAGACAAGTGACATCCATCTGATGAGAAATTTTGATGTTTACAGGCTGATGACCAAAATCCCTTCATACGCCATAAATATGATCTATTGTGTTCTTGTTTGTTCAGGTTTTCCATCAATAGAGAATTGAGTTCATCAACACGAACATTAAACCAGTCAACATCTACTGGATATCTAGTATGAACTGATGGAGAAAGTCTGTGCAGGACTTGTAACACTATAACTTTCTGAACTTGTGCCACAAACAAAAGGGTGTCCACCAGGTCAACGATGCTATGTGCGACTGATCGAGGAGAAATATCTGGCCTGTATATATCGTTTGTGCCGATAACCAAAACAACTATGTCGGGATTGAAATCGTAAACAACCTCTAGGCGTTGTCGAAGTATTGACACTGTAGCGCCCGAATATCCGGAATATTGAACCATTGCCTTGCCATGTAGGTTCAAATCATATCGCTGCGTACTATCTCCTCGAATGAATTCCCTTAGTCTTTTCACAAATGAGTGTCCAAATATTTGTATTTTAGGCGCCGTGATTTCAGCCATGATGGTTGTATAACAATGAAAAATTCCTTTGTTTACAGCTCACGTGAAAATCTGCCACTTTACACTGGAAATGGAGACAAAAACGGGGTCGCCGCCCCAACAATTAACGTCCAACAACTTCTAATAACAATAAACTAATATATTGCGATAATGTTTCACCTTGAAACAAAGATACTAATGTAAAATCTTGAGAATTTCGTTGAAAAAATTGGCGAGAGCTTCTCCTTCGCCATAAAAAATTCGCTATGAAAGCTTACGAGCCCTGATTGGTTCGAAAGCATCACGTGATCTTAAGTCACGACCTCATTGGCTAAAAAGTTAATTTATGTAGAAGGCTAAAAACTGATGTTGACCGTAACAATTCAGTAATAGGGAAAATTTGTAATCAAGAGAAAAAGGGGGCCAACGACATAAATTATTTTATGTGTTCATAAAATCTTATAAATAGATTTTCGGAATATTTAGGTCATAAACTCATCATTCTATTAACAGCTTTCGGAAAAACATACCATAATAACCCACTGTGTACTACAAAATGATAAACAAAAATACCCCGAAGAGCGCGATTTATTGACGGAAAAGGTTATTTCATTTGAAAATGTTTGCATTGCGAAATTCTCCAGTTCGCCATTCATTGTACATATCGCGACTAATTAATAATCAAGCACCCTCATACCGATCGGAAAGATCGGCTTTTATTATGAACAACTGTAAAAGGCTCGAGAAGTTGCTGTCGCCCTTTCACAAAATCTGATTTCATTCCATAATAGGCGCCGCGCTTCGGCGTGGACGCAATGGGCGCCGCGCTTCGGCGCGGACGCCAACAATATTTTACTTTCTTTGCTTCTCCATTTTCTTTGGGAAAGCCTTATAATTAAGAAAATGAAAATTATGATTTGTAAATTAAAAAAGTGGCGAGTTTTATAAAGATAATATTAAAGGAATCACATTTTAATAACTAGTTTTACTAAGATTTTTATGAAGTCATTTGCTTTCATTAACTTTTTATGGCAGTTATACTTTTAAATAAAATTTAGATTGTACCGACCTCTTTAGTCATAATCTAAAATGGATTCATTGATGGAAAAAAATCAAAATATTAGTGTTTGAGATTACTTTTTTTTGTACAATAGAAAGACAGTATTTCAATAACACTTTTATTAAGGAAAAATGTCTATTATTAAGATGAGTAAATTGATTGAATGTTTGAAATTATTTTTATCAACGGTATGTGTGCTGTTATTTTGTAAATGCTTACTATTAAACACCAGGGCAATTCTATTTTAAAAAAAAACTCTGCAGACATCAACCTATACAAAATATAATGTGATGTTAAACCATCCAAAAGGTACCATAAACAGCACTAGAAAGTCAAGGAAATAACACCATTTTCAACATCACATTTCAAAATTTCTCAGTCTATGCGAGGGACACCCCTCCCATGCCCACCCCAATTACATATATCTTATTATTTCCATATTGACTAAATATTTACAAATAAATAGTGTACACATGTATAAAGCAATGTAAACCACCACTCAGATGATGAGATATAAAACCAACAATTACATTTTTTGTCACATGAACAAGATTATGGCCAAATATTCAAACAAGCACAATTTGCGCCTGTAGCATAATTTTGTCAAAGTCTTCCACCCATATGTCAGCCCCCCCCCAGGAAACCATGTTCTGTATCCGCCCCTGACATCAGTGACGATAAGCGCAAAAAGGCACTGCTCTTGCATTATTGTGGTGAGGAAACGTATGACATATATGACAGTTTCACTGACGCACAAAAGGGGATTGGTGCAACAAGGGTCGTAAGTGTAGATCCAGAGGTCACCGAGTCATGTGAATATGAAACGCTGAAAAAAAACATTAACTGATTATTACACTCCAAAGAAGAATGTTACATTTGAAGTGTACAAGTTTCGACAAATCAGGCAGGAATCTGGTGAGACCATTGACAATTTTTACACTCGGTTACGAACACAAGCAAGTTTGTGTGACTTTCACAACAAAGATACAGAAATCCTAAACCAGATCGTTCAAGGATGCACATCATCCAGGCTCAGAAGGCGGGCCTTACGGGACAACTATGACTTAAAAAAATAATTGACGAGGCCCGTGCGTTGGAACTCAGTGAAGTTCGTGCTTCAGAAATGGAGGGTAAACAGGCAGTTAACGCAGTTAACGCAATGTCCATGGGACAAGTCCGTGGTAGGGGTCACTCTCGTGGATCTAGGCGTGGCTTTACTTCTCGTAGGGGTTCTCGCTCACGTTTTCGGGGACACTCTAGCAGTGGAAATTCTAAATGTGGAAACTGTGGCAATTCGCTTACCAATCACAAAATTTGTCCTGCAAAAGGAAAGACTTGTAGATACTGTAACAAACCGAATCATTTTGCTAGGGAATGTCGTCTACGAATTTCCAAAGAAGGTCAACATGTGAATTTTACAGACAATGACAAACCCAGTGTTAGTGTGAATAATGTAAACAACGATGAGAGTTCAGATAATGATTATTATGATGATGACAATTTCATTTTCAATGTTAATATGTCAAATGCTAGCTCACCATGTGTTAATGCTAAGGTTTTTAATATTGATGTTAACTTTCTAGTAGATACTGGTTCTACTTGCAACATTATTAATCTTGATGTGTACAACAAATTTTTAAAGAAACCAGTGTTATGTCACCCTGTTCCAAACATTTTTCCGTATGGTTCAAAGGTATCGCTACCCTGCTTGGGATACTTTACTGGCACAATTAAATTCAAAGATAAAACTGTAAAAACTGAAATTTATGTAGTAGACTTTATTGAAACGAGGCACTCTAAATGTCTGCTAAGCTCTTCTACTGCTCAAAGTCTTGGTATTATCCACTTTACATATGCTTCTTCTGTCCCTATTCCCACCAAAAATTTTGTTAGTTAGATTGCAGGTCAGTTTCCAGAGCTGTTTGATGGTGCTATGGGGATGATCAAAGGCGTAGAAGTCAAGTTACACATTGATGAGACGGTGCAGCCAGTTTCTCAACCTCACCGTAGAATACCTTTCCACATACGTAAAGATGTGGAGAAAGAGCTCAAGAGTCTTGAGGACCTTGATGTGATTGAGCCAGTTTCTGGTCCTACACCGTGGGTCAGTCAGGTAGTTGTTGTCCCTAAAAAGTCTTCTGGAGTTAGGATTTGCATTGATATGCGCCAGGCTAATCGGGCTATTCTTAGAGAAAAGCATCCCATGCCTACCATTGAAGACTTAATGACTGAGCTTGATTCCTCTACAGTTTTTAGCAAACTTGACCTCTCTAATGGTTATCATCAGCTTGTCCTTTCAGAGCCCTCTCGTTACATCACAACATTTAGTACCCATGTTGGTCTACGTCGTTATAAACGTCTGTTATTTGGGGTAAACGCTGCCTCAGAGATTTTTCAGAAAGTTATTTCTGATTTGATTTCAGGTATTCAAGGTGCAAGAAACTTGTCAGGTGATATTATCATACATGGTAAGACGCAAACAGACCATGACCGTGCGCTCATGCAGACATTAGAGAAACTTCGCAGTTCAGGGGCCAAATTGAACAAAGACAAATGTGTCTTTTCTGTTAATAAAATCACTTTCTTTGGCCATGTTTTCAGTAGTCTTGGTGTTTCTGCAGACCCTCAGAAAATCAAGGACATAATAGGCCGCTTACCACCATCTAATGTTGCTGAGATTAGATCATTTCTTGGTATGACCCAGTATTTCTCTAGATTTATACCCCGCTATGCAACACTGACTGAACCTCTCAGGCGCCTTACACGTCAAGATGTGCTGTGGTGCTGGTCAGAAAAGGAAGACGAAGCATTCAACAAGCTGAAAGCTTGTCTAGCAAGTACCGAAGTCATGGTGTATTTTAATCCTGATAAACCCACTGAAGTTCTAGTTGATGCTTCCCCTGTTGGTGTATCCGCAATTCTTACCCAAGATGGGAAAGTTGTTAGTTATGCTAGTCGGGCATTGACCGACGTGGAGCAGAGATACTCCCAGACTGATCGGGAAATGCTGGCTGTTGTTTACGGAGTTGAACACTTCTATTTATACCTGTTTTGCTTCTGAGTTCAAGGTGTTTCGGACCACAAGCCGCTTCTTGGTATAATTGACAGTAAGAAACCTGCTTCTGCCATGATGGAACGTTGGCGACTTCGATTGATGCCATATCAGTTCAAACTCGAATACCGACCAGGTCGAGATGAGTTGAATCCAGCCGACTATATGAGTCGACATCCACATGATAAGCCTAAGCGCGATAACGCTGCTGAAGCTTATGTTGCATACATCAGTCATAACGCTGTGCCTAAGTCACTGACTTTTGACGAAGTCCGTGCTGCTTCACGCAAATGTCCTACTTTGCAGAATGTGATGTCTGCCATTCAGACTGGCGATTGGTGGAATGATCCTACTCTAATTCCGTATGTTCGCTTCCGAGACGAGCTCTCAATCTATGATGGTGTTATTTTAAGAGATCATCGTTTGGTCATTCCAGCCCAATTACAAGACAGGGTTGTTGATATTGCTCATCAGGCCCACCAAGGCATAGTCAAGACGAAGCAGCTCCTCCGGGAAAAAGTCTGGTTTCCTTCTATTGACAAAATGGTTGAGGAGGCTGTGAAAAGCTGTATTCCATGTCAAGCATCATATCCTGGACATAACAAGAGAGAACCTATATGTCCCACTGTTCTGCCTTCTAGCCCTTGGTCTGAATTGGCTGTTGATTTTTCTGGTCCATATCCATCTGGTCAGTACATCCTAGTAGTTGTTGATGAACATAGCAGATATCCCGAAGTTGAGATTGTACATTCCACATCGGCAAAGGTTGTAATTCCCAGACTTCAAGGCATATTTGCACGTCAAGGGTTCCCAAAAGTCTTGAAATCTGATAATGGTCCGCCTTTTCAAAGTCAGGAGTTCGCAGACTTTGCCAATGCTTGTGGTTTCAAACATCGCCGTATCACTCCGCTGTGGCCGGAAGCGAACGGTAATGTGGAACGGTTTATGGGCACTTTGAACAAGTTTGTTAGAGCTTGCGTGTCAGGAAATAGAAATTGGAAGTCTGAACTTAATCAATTTCTTATGCAATATAGGGCAACACCCAAATCATCAACCAAAATTTCTCCGTTTTGAAGCTCTAACCGGTAGAAAATGAGTTTTGGTCTCCCAGATATTCCCAAGTCTGATCAAGCCCCAGTCTCTGATAGCATAGTAAACAATGATGTTATGAGTAAAACTAAGATGAAGGCCTATGCTGACCAAAGACGACACACGTCGGAGTCTAGTCTCAAACCTGGAAATCATGTCCTAGCAAAACAGCCAAAGCTGAATAAACTTACCCAACCGTTTGATCCAGATCCTTACACTGTAATTGAGAAAAAGGGTAGTATGGTAACTGCAGAGCGGGATGGCCGTTGTTTAACCCGAAACTCTTCATTTTTTAGGCCAATCAAAAATGCAGTGATGCTGGAGGATGAAGAGGAATATGAAGCCCCTCAAGCCTCTAGTCCAGAATCTAGTATCCCTGCTGCTCCTGAATTAGTATCTAGTCCTGAATCTAGTCTCCCTTCTGCTCCTGATATAACTCTTGTACCTGTCACTCCAAGGAGAAATCCTCCTCGCTCTACTCGTTCTGTCTTGCCTCAGAAGATGAAAGACTATGTGATGAGTAAACCTAAATGAGCCTTTAAGTAGTTTCAAGATTTTTAAAATTGTTGTTTTCTCTTAATGTTAATCATTAAGTAACATTTGCATAAATTTAATCAAAGTTCATTTTTGATAATAGTTCGTTCTTTTCATGATTATTCAAGTAAAGTTCTCTTAATTGTTTATTGAATACAAAACTGTGGGGTTTTACCAAATTTTGTATTTTGTTTAAAACCTTTTATATAAACCTTTAAAGTTTTTTTTTAAAGGGGCAAACAATTAATATTCCCAAAAGGGAATACTGAATTTCAATTACCCGGAATTTCCCCGAATATTTTTTAAATTGATTCTGTTTTTTGTAACATTTTAAAAAAATTATTCAAATTTTAACCCAACATTTTATTTGTATTTTTTGATTTTAATCGCAAATAAGGGGTTAAAGACCATTTAAGACATAGGGGGGTTTTAAGTAAATTTTACCTAAGGGAAAAAAATATTTTTAATTTTAGTGGGCATTTTGGGAACCATTTTAAAATGTTTGATAACTAACCCAAAGGAAAAAAAATGTGCTTAACCCCCAAAAGACAAAATTTAATAAATGGTTGAATACAGAAGCCAAACATTGGGAGTTCTATGTCTATAACTTTAATTTAAGGGAGGGGGGAATGTGTGTTCATATCTAAAAAAATGAGTCCCGACCTTTTGATTTAGTAATATTAAAACCCACAAAAAACAACCCAAAAAAAACCCCCGTCAATAAAGTTTTTAGAATGAAAAGCGGGCTTTTTTTTGTGAAACCAAACAAAAACAAAGGCTGTGTAAATTTTTTTTCATGCTATATGATCATTTAAAATTAAAGTATTTTAAAATAAAAATTTTGTTGTGGGAAATGAAAAAGTCATTAACACATTGCAAACGGCACTTACATTCCACGTAAATTACCAAAAAGAGGTCTTATATGCAAAAATAGCCCGTATTGCGTTAGTCACGCTAAAGAAATTTGGTGAATAATACTGCAAAATCAGTAATTTATCGCTTGAATCTTTTTACTCTTCTTAAAATCATTTCTCAAGTTTGATTTTCTTGAAATATTTTGGCTTATCTGGAGGCATGCAGCTTTAAAGGTCTTTCACTTATTTTAATGTTTAGAAGTGCTTTTCATGTCAGGTACAATTGCCATTTAATATTTTTGGGTCATTTACCTTAAATCTTCTCGATTCCTTTAATGTTCTACTTAGTCTAGTAATCCAGCTTCTATTGATGGAACTCCAATTATCATTTTTAGGAACATCAAGATAAAGCCTTTTCAGATTGCCAATTAACTTATAAGCTCTAAAAATTGGGCTACCAACAGTATAGAGCCTGGTCATACTTAGTCCAACTAATTGTACTATGCACTGAGATGTTATGAGCTATATGTTCGCTTTACGAAGCGAGAATATGACCTAGAACTAAAATATCCCAGAATCTAGCTTAGTCACGTCAAAATATTTTAACTAGGTCATGATGTACAGATGTACATATGTGCAAACTGGCATGGCTCTACATACTGGTCACTTCCAGTTACAGCAGGTTAAAGGTGCATGTCTCCGCGATTACCGGCTGATTCTGCGTTATTCATCACCATATCTCTACTGCGTGACTAACGCTGTAAAGTCTTTTTGTTGTAGGGTTTAAATTTCTCGAGATATTATTAACATGATATTTTCAATCAATTTATTGCAATATTGTCACATTACTTAAGAAAAATATGGCATATAGGTAAGTAAAATATGAACAGAACAGAAAAGAACAGAAATATATTTTAGACTTGAGTATTAATTTCATCATCATAACAATACATTCATATATACAAATCATATAATAATAATTTACATTGAAACAATGATATTTTAGTACTATATTTATACAATTTAGAGTGTTCAATTAACCTTTTCCCTCATATAGACGTGTTTTGACGGCTTTTTGCCCCCACCCCCTTTTGAGGCCTCAAACAGTTAAAAAATGCCCTGTTTAGACCCCAAACACTGTTTTTCGTTTGAGAAATGTTGTTAAAAAAGTGACCATTTTTTTGGCACCGCCCCCTTTCCAAAAGATACATCAGGGGGTTGCCAGAAGGGGGATGTGCCCCCGTCTGTTTAGGGGGTTTGAAGGGTTGACAGTCCCCCATCGCCAAGAAAATTTTGGACATGTGACAGGCTAAAAATGGCCTAAGGTCGATCTTAATGTAACGTGTAACGAACGCTGAAAAGCCTTTTACTCTATCTCAATGCAATCAGTTTTGATGGAAAAAAAACAATGCAAAATAGCGATTTTTGACAATTTTGAGACGTCCCCCCGTTGCCATTGTAACAGGAAATTTAAGATTGAGCATCATGTAACAGAGGTTATGGTCCAGTCAACATTTGTGCCAAGTTTCATTAGTATTGAAGCATTTTTCACAGTTTCATAGCAGTTTGAACCTCAAGGGATTTTAGATTCTTTCATGTGAGGGAGCTATCAAGCTAGCTTACGGAACGTCGATGGGGCCAGTTCTTGCCTGAAATAATACGGTCTTCCTCCACCAGGAAAGCTGGAAAGTCACCATATTACAAACTGTGCGACAACTTAATATATATTTGGTTCTTATATGTTAAAATGTATAATTACGTATGTATACACAATGAAATTGGAAAAATGAAGTACTGACAAAGTACTATGTGAAATGAACCATAATCACAAACGGCTGGCTTTTATTTCTACTTCGGGACCTGATAAAGGCAGTTAGGCGCAAAGATAGATCTTATGTGGATCCGTCCACTTTAAAAAAACACCGAACAAACAAAAAAAGCACAACACTTTTGGTTTCATTGAAAAACTCTTTATTGCACTATTACAGAATTTATCACATTTTATGACAAGCAAGACTTAATCAAAATATAAAATAAAGATGGGTTGATCGTCATCTTTGTTGTTGCTATGCAACAGTATCTTATACGCAGAATAACAAACTTTAAAATAGAAACATGTGTTAGATTACATTAAATTATAGAAATGGTACAAAAATATTAATGTGTAATGAAAAGTGGAGCGGTTGTAAGAATTATTGTTGTTTTTATGAATGTCGTCATCAAAATATAATTTCGCATTTATTACACGAATGTCCTTGGGTGCCAATGTATGTAAGCTTCCGCAGTGAAATTTCAATATTGCAAGTTTTCTGTGAAACACATCACTCTGCTATTCCTTAGCTACTGCTATAACCTGGAAATAAACATTATATTATATGAGCCGCGTCACGACAAAACCAACATAGTGCGTTTGCGACCAGCATGGATCCAGACCAGCCTGCGCATCCGCGCAGTCTGATCAGGATCAATGCTGCTCGCTATCAGTTTCTCTACTTGTTATAGGGTTTGTAAGCGAATAGCATGGATCCTGATCAGACTGCGCAGAGGCGCAGGCTGGTCTGGATCCATGCTGGTCGCAAACCCATTATGTTGGTTTTGTCGTGACGCGGTTCATATGTTTATATGAAACGTACTAAGGTGTATTTAAAAAAAACTTACATACTAAGTATTTGTTACCTGTAGAATACTGAAATGGAATTCCCCAGCCCTGTTTAATTAATTAGATCTAAATTAAACAATTAATTTATCAATACGAATTATCAATACGAAAATACGAGTATGAAGTTATTCGGCCGACAATGTAGAGTCGGGCCAGAGTGCATATAAGTACAGGCCATCCTGACTCTAGAAATTATGATGCTTCGAAAGGGATTATAAGATCTGTGTAGTACATTTATCGAAAGCTTTGACATCCTAACATTGTGAGAATATAAGTCACATTATGCTCTGAAGTTGTGACATATCATCTGCCTTACAGCAGCTGCTAAGTTTTATTTCTTACTTAATCACTATAAAAATGAAACATGTGCTGCCTAAGGACGGCTATAATAACGAAAGTATAAAACACCGTTAAGGAGATCGGTGACCTAGTGCTTAAGGTGCCTGCCTCTCAACCCAAGACTCTGGTCACAGCTATGTTTCTTCTTATGACTGATAAGTTCCAGGAAGCGGACTCCAAAGTGATAAATCAATATAAGTTGCAAGAACTTGTTTCACAATCAAGCTAAATAAATAGATTTAAACTCAACTGACCAAATCCGTTAAAATATACATACCCAATCATAAAATATTGTTGTCGCACTGCTTATTGCCTTAATACTTTCGTGAGAATATTCAGACACTTTATTCATAGCCTTCGCACGAGTTTCTTGTGAAATCTTTTCATAATCGATATCTCCGATGGTCTTCAAAAATTGTGTTCCCCCTATGACCTTCTTTATGTTTTGCCAGTTCTTTACATAAAGAAATATAATTACATTTTAAATATATAATAAAAACTCTGAATAAGCACATATATACTGAACACAGATACATAAAGGGTATGATAGCATGTTTCATGATCTTCGTTATTACTTATGTATTTCTGTTTACCAAAAG